TTACGTCTGTAAACAATTTTTGTTTAAATCGCAAATTAAAATAATAACAAATATGACTGCAAACAAGACTCATTTTACATCATATTTGCTGTACGGGCAAAACGATTTTTCTGCGCGCTTTTTTCGAACTTTTTTCAATCGCAAGATTACTACATGTATATCATATTGATTATTTTTATATGCATTAAAGATTAAAAGAAGTTCTTATTTTTGTTGTATTACAGAAAACTTGGCGCCATCCGAATTGAAGAAACTAAGAAACAAACAAAGGAAACAGCGCAGAAAGGCCGAACTCGAACGACAGCAAGCCGCCCAAGCTCAAGAGAAAAGAGAGCAACATAACAAATCTCGGCAACAGAATGACTCTGATCTTGAGCAGCCCACGCTAGACGAATTAATTCCGGAAAAGCTGGAAAGGGTTAGTTTAAACAATGAGATGATAGAAGAATGTTGTCTTTTAAATCATTTTGCTTTGTCATTTAAAGCGTTGGCGTTGAGATATTTTTCATGCTAAATATATAAGACATAAAAGAATACACCAACCACAAAATTTTAAAAATTCTTGCTCTGACCTCGGTAACGTTATTTAAAGTAAAACTGATAAGATCAGTAAATAGATCTTTTTAAACCCTACAACTTTTATTTGAAACATTTTTTTATAAAACTTATATTTTTCGAGGATTCTGGGATCTTGACCTTTTAAATATCCTGTATAATTTCTTTAACAATAATTAAATATACTTTTTTCAGGTTGAAGATCCACTGGAACAAGCGATAAAGTTTTTACAGCCCTTGCAGGAATTGGCATCGAATCGGATAGAAACGCATCTCATGGCTTTCGAGATATATATTCGGAAAGGTACTAGAAGTATATATTAATAACGCATACATACAAATTAAGTTGCAATTGATGAAAATTATTTTGTGGGACTAACTAATAGTAAGTTGGTGCGAGATAATAAATATCTGTTTCTCTTACAGGTCGCACTCTTCTCATGCTACGCTCGATAAAACGTGCTCATAGGTTGGACATAAATAATCCAGACCTACATACGTGTTTGGTGCGCTTTCTGTTACACACTAGTAAGTCACCGTTGGAAGGAGCAGTGGGCGAAGTAGTGAAGCGTCAGACCGCCGGAATCTTCTCGAGTACGAAGGCAGCCCAACTAAATGGCGAGTACTTGAAGAAGAACAGGAATTCGCTGCCGCATCTACTGCAAGGTGCAAGGATGCTGTACGTTCTGGATCCGTCCGCGCAGACGAAGGCGCTATCCCTCGTGATAAGCATCGAGGAACTCGAAGGCGTGACGCTACAGAATTGCACGAAGGTGCTTGATGCATTGCGCAACGGTGACTTCGGACACTGTGACGACACGATAGCCGATTACATGACGAAATGTCATGTGCGGTTCCCATTCGCTACCGCGTTTCGGCCACCTGAGCCCAAAACCAACAATCATCAAGAGAAAGAGAATTCAATCAAAAACTGATCCAGGCACGCGCTATTGCAGCGTCACTGAATCTATTATCGTAATTAGACAAGTCCATGGAGAGCCGGGGTACCGAAGCGTTCTTCTGATCTGCGCTAGAGGGCGTTAAAAATCACGTTTTTGGTGCCGTGGTAAAGAAACGAAACGAAATTGGCAAGATAATTAATCGAGTAAAGCATGTGTTATATATGAACTGTTCTTCGAGAATATTTCACGTAGTGCGAACAGTGCTGGGACAATGCTGGATAAAAACAATCCTAATAAATTATAATGCAACGAGGTGCGAACCGCCTACAGCTTCTGGAACGCGGTCTAGGAATTTTACAGGAAGGAAAATAATGAGAAAAAAGAGAGAGGATGACTTAGCTAAATATTAGTTAACAATCGAGATCGATTAATTTGACACGTTCTGCTTATCGTGAGCAGCGACGCTAAATACGAGAGAGGGGGATGAAGATCGGGGATGGGAGGGGAATAATCGACGAAAGTGCGGATTGTTTTGTGGTACGGGACGTGCAGTGTGTAAAATAACACGTGCGAGACTAACACATTGGTACAAAAAGACAAGACTTGTATACATACATACGCGCGCTCTAAAGCGAATATTTCTACTCGACTTAAGGTGTACAATTTCCAGCGATGCCTACATAATACTCTACTATGTAGAGGCTGCAAAACGCTAGATGATCATCGAAGCACCAAGTACTGTACCGTGCATGTCTGTCGTCGCATTTTGAATGGACTCCGTTCCCACATCGTGTATTAACTTCTGGTTCGCCTCATCCGTGAATTGTCGATTTCAATGAACAAAATGATTCTAATGCTTTTCTTTCTAGACACATTTTATTTCTGCGTTTTTTGCCCAGGGTAATGATCTACGTTTGGATTGGAGCCCTGATATTCCATCGAGAAGTCAATAAGGAAGTAGTGTCCGTTTGCGAAAGTCTCTGTGAAAGTTACTATAGGAACGATAACTGCGTTTTGTATACGCAAACTACCAAAGTATATCATAAATCGAAAGGCCGTTAGTGTGTTAATAGCGAATATCATCGTACGTATGTACATCGACGGATTGCGAAAATTTTAATAAATACAAGGTTTTTAAAAGCCTACCGGTACAAGTCAAAGGATGTTATAATTACCTCGTTTGAATTCCGAAAATAACGCTGCATATTTATAAGTTTTCAGTTTTCCCGTAAAAAAAATTTTTTCGATACGAGATGACATAGATACTACCGAGCTATTAAATAATATTTGTACATATTTCAGGTACTATATCAATAAGTGTATAATGTCTTATGACTTTCTTTCGAATGAGCGACAAATGAGTTCGCCGCCGATCAATATTGTCTGAATGTTTATCACCTACTCAAACACGTCATAACAATAATCATAAACATATAGTAGATATCTACGTTTTTGATTGTATTAGTTATAATATATATTTACCTCCTCAATCGCCCGCGTAAAATATATTATCACAAAATGACGAGTGATGAGTCGATGGAATAATTTAACAAAGTAAGATCGGTTGTCCTCTAAAATAATTTTTTTATTTTTTATTCCTTCCATAAATGTATGGAAATACTTTCTCGAAATTATAGAATTGTGAGATTAAGAAAAAATTTAATGTAATCGTTTTTGTTGATTGCGATGAAATTACTCTAGAGCTGATATAGAGAAGAAACCGGTAAATATTTAGGTTGACTCCTAAAACAATATGAACTATTACATTATTGTGTATATTTCTTTATATTTAATTTATTAAAAGCAATTATTCGACTTCACGACCGTGTATCTACTGAAGAATTTAATATTGTTGAATTTTTTACTTTTCATTTGAATATCTTTTCTATAAAAGTATGAATGAACTCTGTACGTAATTTTCATGTGTTCATGAGAAAGTTCACATATTAATTGCTCCAATCTTTACCGGAGGTTATTACCTCGATGTAAAAATTTTATCACGCGCATATATAGACAGACATCAAAAGATAGAAAATAAATAATGCTAATTGCGAGTTGCATTCAAATTTGTCGAGAACTGAATCTAGATTCGCCTTTCAATCCCCAACACGATATTGCACGACAAGCTAGCTTGGGTTTTTCTCTAAACCATATCTTCCATTTCTGAATATAATTAGAATTCATCACACAGAATTAATATAATTCTATTCTAAAGGAATATCTTTTGTAATTGAATAATTTTGTGTACATATATTATTTGAACATTACTATGACATATAATCAAACAGAATCTTTGGCATGTTATATTATTTCAAAATAATCACAAATATTTACAAATTTTCAGATTTCTGTTATCATTTTATTTTATAAAGGTGATGTAATTATTGTAATGATTAATGAATAATTGTAACAATTTACTTGCTCACTCTTACGTGTACCAAACATGTAGCAAAAGTAAGAGTATTCATGTGAATCGTAATGCCAGTATTCTGTTTCGATAAGCGACATTCTAAATTTTATTGATTTACTATATTAATATATGATACACAATATTCTATGCTATAATCTTAATTTTCTACATTATGTAAAAAAACTTCTTTGTGATGAATTCAAATTCCGTAATGTATAATCATGCTCATTGTCTCTAACGTTCCTCACATTATATTCATAACTGAGGAAATAAGTGAAATAGCATTTTAATTGAACGAATTTGAATATGTATAGTATGTACATAAAATACGTATTAACACACGCGCATATACATATATATATGTATCAAACGTCTTTATTGTTTAATCGTTTCCTTTTATTATTATATTACATCATCATGGAAACATTATATCATGTAAAACTGGTCTACCTTTACTCCGCTTAATTCGAAGAGAAAATAAACATTGTTACATATTTCTATTATGCCATAAGAACATTGTGTCACTGTTTACATTTGTACAGCTGATAACACGCATAAACAGAGTTGTGTCATATACTTAAATCTATCTTAGTCTTACTGCAATTGTTTTGCTTTCTGTACATTGTTTTATTTATTTTTTTCACATCACTTGGTTAATCAATATTAGAAAATGGGATTGTCACATGAAGATTGAGGAAAGAGGCAGGTTTGCTTTGCCTGCATTTGTACCTACTCTTAATTAATACTTTTATATGTAAATATTAGTGTCTCTGAACTTCCAAAAAACAAAAAACCAAAATCAATATCCAGCAATACAATCATAAGTTGTATTTTCACGTGCTATCTGATGGTTAACATTATTTGAAAAGGATTCATTCTATGAAATGTCAAGTGAAAAAATAAATAAATGAATAGAAACACATGAAAAGAAACAACAATTTTATTATTGCTACCACGATGATAGAAACAAAATACCTCTCAATGTTTATTAACTTATTAATTATTTTCTACTAAATAGGTATTTTTGTATATATTTAATAATCTTTTAAGATATTTATTCTATAAAAGAATAATAAAAAAGATACACAGACATTCATTATCAAATTAAATTTATTCATATAAGATACAAGTAATAGTGATCAACATGATGATATTGATTCTCATTTCTTAATCTTCTTGTTTTGTCGGAGTTTGCGGTAATTGGTTCATCTCAGTCCAATTAATATCGCTGAAATTAATTTCTATTTTCGGATTCTTTGGGATGTACTGCCTAAAACGAAATTTAAGAAAATATGCCGTAACATCTTTGCTATCGTAGTAATAAATTGGTACAGCAATTTCAAAGAATAAGCACCTGTACATTACACCCGCAGCATCAAACATTCTTTTAGCGGCTATTGTCTCGACTTTATGAGCGTATTTGTCGGACATATAAATTACAGTTTTTATGCCGGACTGTATTATTACTTTCGCGCACTGGTTGCACGGAAATAAAGCAACGTATATTGTGCAGTCTTTAACGTTGCTCGAATTTTTGTTTAGAACCGCATTAACTTCCGCATGACACACTACAACCCAACGTCAACAGATTGATTAGTGCTTTTAATAACAAAACAATTCCAGACGACATAAAGTTTAAAATTGGGATATAAGACGTCTTAAAAATATTTTAAAAACATTTTTGCGAGAATCATCTAAAAAATGTTGTTTGTTGCGCTTTTAGACTTCGTGTTGTCTATGGGAATTCACTGTTTCATACATATTTTGTAAAAAAGATTGTTTATTATATGTATTGTACCATAAAGATATTTCGCATCTAAACTAGTGTGGGGGCCCCTTTTCCAAGGAAACTCATCATCACTGCATCCCATGGGCATCCCATTATATCCGATACCGACGATTTTCTTGTCATTATTAACAATACACGCACCGACCTGGGTGCAAGGATCTTTGCTCCGTTTAGCAGAAAGGAACGCAATGGCCATGAAATATTCGTCCCAATCAATATACGTCGTTCTTTTAGAACTGTCTCTATATTTATGAAACCAATAATAATCGAATTCTGAATACATACATCTAAATATATCTATTCCTATATTATATACTTATTATAGGAATAAATATATTTTTGTATTGAAATAAAAATATACCGTTCGCATAATGTTCCAGCCATTGTTAGTTAAGCCTTTATTTAAATTTCTCACAAGAGCACAGATCAGGAGTATTAAATATTTTTATATTATTATCTAAATATCGTTAAACAGATATAACGGGCCTTTGAAAAAAAAACTTAACCTATACGTAGAGAATCAGAACAGAAATGTGGAGAATTCCCGCCAATTCTCATCTAAACCTAAACTGATGAGAATCAAACATATGAGGTTTGTTCGCGTCGCATGCTCTAACATTTTCCAATATGCTCCTATCATAGTTTTTACTCACTCCAACGTGCTTGATAGAGTGAATAGGAGCTATGGTAGGAGCATGTTGGAGCATATTGGAGATTGCGACGCGAACAAACCTAATGCCCGTATCACACTACGCATTGAGAGTGAAGACTAAGGATTGCGATTTGAGGATTAGAATTCAGCCAATTAGAACGAAACGGATTAAATTTAAAATTACCTGATTGGTCGAATTCTAATCCTTAATTCGTAATCTTCAATCTCCTATGCGTAGTGTGACACGAGCATAAAGAGACTCCAAAGGATTGAGCACGTTCGAGCCGATAAAGTAGCTAACCGGCTCATTGAGCAAACGCTGCTTGTGGATAAGTATCATTAAAATAATTATAATCCATATATATGCTGTGTGAGTTTATATTATACTTTCGAAATAAACTACAATTTATTATGCTTTCGGAATAAACTACAATTTTTGTCGCAACAGAAATTATATATTAAAAATTACTGTTTTTACTGGGAATTATATATTAAAAATTACTGTATTTACTGGGAAAAGTATAAATGACATATTTAACTCATAATTAACGATGTACGAATTTTCATCTTCTGATAATACTATTATACTTCATATTTTTGAAAATATTTCTATTATATAGAAATGGAAAATAATAAAATGTAAATATTATTAAATTCATTAAAATAAATTATCCAGAGGATATTTATGTTAACATTTATCTAAGAAACGCGAACGTAATCTGAAATGAATTAAATTAAAAGGCAAAAGTAAAAATTAAAAAATACAAATATACTAACATAAGTCAGCAAAATATAGGATAAAGCAGCTAGCAATATTATTCATGTCAACAAACAGGTTAACTACTTTGTTGACTTGAATGAATCCATTGAGATGTTATGTAAATATTATTATCGATAATCAGTAATATCGCGCTCCTAATTTATCTACCATTTTGTTTTATAAAACATAAATTAATTAACTTTATTTTTTCGAAGAGCTTCCTATTTTTAATTATAACATCGAAAAAGCGTGATTAAAAACAAATTATTTTACAAAAATTTATAACAATCAACATTTGGACGGTCGTACAGTTGTAATATTATCTTCTTAATAATAATATTGAATTCATGAAAATCAATAAAATAACAAAATAATGTAAGAAACAAAGAAATTGCATTATTTAGAATTCTAAGATCTTATCACATTTCCAAGAATTATGATTTTAAAAATTTGGATTTTTGATTGAAGTCACGACGATCAAAAACTCCAAAAAATTGGCAAAATATCAGGAAAATATAATAATCGACAAGAGGCTGCATTTTTTAAAATATGAAGAATTTTCTAAAAATTAAAAGAAATGTGATTCAGAGAATTCCTAAAATTTAAGTCTTATGATTTCAACAACTGAACTGTTTTCTATGGAATATTGAAACATATGAAAGATTTAAATTCTATTACAAAAAGAAAAGATTTAAATAATATATTGTATAATTTTTTATTCTTAGTTAATAATAATTATTTAAGTTTATATTAATAATTATTAATTTCTTGCTTTGTTATTTTAATAAGAAAAACATTTAAACAATATAAGATTGTATATAACTAAAACAACTAATTAAAATATTTTCATTTTTCCTATATTTTATACACATGATCTTTATATATACATACTTAAATACATTAGAAGATTCAATACACGATCGATACATCTTTACCTAAAAAATCATAAAAATGAAAAGAGGTCAGGCCATGTTCAAAAAAAGATCCTCAAAAATTTAAACTTTTATAAATTTAAATGATTATCTAAAATAATACGAGTATATTACCATGAAAAGTAACTGATATATTATTAATAAAGATGTCAGTTCAAAGTGAATATACATAAAGTGTATATTATCTAAATATAACAACACACATATTACTATGAAGAATAACTGATATTCAAGGTTGAAGTTCAAAATGAAAATACATACATATAAGTAAGACAGATTACAATTTGATTCTATAAAATAAGTGCGATATGTTATTCTTAGTGCACAAAATATAAAAGTCGTTTATTGAGATTTGATTTGAAATTTATATTAGCCCGTACAATGAAAAATAATTGCTTGTAATTTCAGAGTATCAATTTGTTAATGACTCAGAAAAAGAACATAGCGGCCTAAAAACTTTGATGAGTTTCTCGGTGTCCACTTAGAAATAATGTCGAAGCTTTTACAAAGTATTTTAAATTATTACATTATTTTACTTCTTTAAACCGAAGAATTTTAATTTTCCAGAAAATTTTGCAAAATTCCCTGACTTTTTCCTGATTTTCTTGACATTGCCTTGATTTCTCTGACTTCCAATTTTGTGGCAACTCATTTAAACGTCACGCAAACTCGATTATGTTTGTCGTAGAAGCAGCTTGATACTAGTACAAGGGTGGACTTTTGTGTAGGAATTAAAATAATTCGTTTAGTTTATTGAGCTTCTGGCGACAAGATATCAACAATAGGAGCATGGTACAATCGATAAAAGCTGTAATAATCTGTGCATGGCAGAGCTTAGGACTGAGTCTTCAGACACGCCAACCGGCAGTTCCTGGTACCAGTTCATCTTAGCTAAATTTTTCAACTTGAATTTCACTTCTCTTCCATGAATTTCAGCGTGTTTTTAGAAACTAAAGGATGATAGTATACTTAGAATATCTACCACAAATTAAATAACGTATAATATTCGATATTTTACATTGCAACATGTAACTCAGTGACGAATTTCGAGATGTTAGTTTATCTCGTATCTCGGTGATGTAAAATTTAGAGAAGTATTTATTTAGAAATATTTTCAAATTATCTGATATCAGGAAATTCGTCACTGCGTCACATTTTGCAGTACAAGAATATCTCAATCGTGAGTTTATTCCTTTTTTGTGGGTTATGTTCCAATTATACCGTTGTTTGATTGTTGCAATGCTATGACATTATGGATTTCCGTATGCACGCATTTTATCATACCGCTATTTCATATCCAGAGTCCGTGCAGTTTCAGGATATACATATGCGTGTTATTATTTATGATTACAGAGAAAATGTTTCGTTAGCGGAAGAAGGCGCGTCTTGCTGCATAATGCGGTAATTCCGTACCAAGCGTATCTCACATTCGCTCCGCGATAGGTTCTTTATTTTTTTTATTACACAGCCCGCTTTTAGAGACGGCAGTATTTTTTATATTTCAATCCCATTTCGGTTATTACTACGAGTGCACATTTGTCGCTTCTTCCTTACTTTGACATGTATTAAAATGAATAGTGTGCGCAATGCTGTATAGGAATGTACTTTTACCTTTACATAGGCATGTATTCGCGAGAAAAAATACGCCTAGGCAACAGGCATTGTGACTAACAGATCTACTTCCGGTTCCGCGAGCGGAGCAGCGCCACTCTGCGCCGTGACAATCTCTCAGAAGACAATTGAAAACTGAAAACTTGTTTTTCATGTCACGGGAAAAAAAGGTGAAACATAATTATACTTACTGCCGTCTCCGAATGATTACGCTATGTTTACGGAAGGAAGAGATGCTGTCGCACGATAGTGGAGAAATTCAATGTTACACATCATGTTTGACGGATGAATTGTATTTTCAAAGAAGGAAGTCCTGTGCGCTAAACTTCTCGTTTAACCTGGTCTAATCTGATCTAACCTGTTCAATTCGAAGTACTTTTTACGTTAGAAAAATATGAATATTACACTAAATAATTATTCTTTCAATACACATAAACATTTAACTTTAATTTAACTAATAATTTTCAAAACTATCCAATCAACACAAACTAAAAGTAACATAATATCAATGTTATAATTTTGCATTCAACAATATAAATGTAATATACCACATAATGTTAGATGATAGTTGACATTGTTGAGTGCGAAATAATTGAATAATTGTTAATTGATCAAATAATGGATCGCTTAAATATTATATTCTGAATATATTATTTAAAAAATTGGATTTTTTTATTTGCAATCACTATATTGCAATATTCTACAATATTTATAAAATCATATTAGAAATTTATTACTATTGGCACATATAGGTATTAAGGATACATAAATCAGATCTTTCATTCGCATGACATTTTAGATCGCGTCTCTACGTAGCTCATAAAAGAATATGTGTAGGCGCGGCATTGTGAGCACGTTTTATGAGCTGCGTCTAATATTGGCAGGAAAAGGAACCAATAAACGGATCGTCAGTAATAGAGCTAGCGTGCAATCAGCGGTCGATGACTATTGATTTAAGATTACACTCCGACCAATTGTGAGACTTTCGCGATCGAATCGACCTATTTGCGTACGAAATTCGGTATCCAGTTGCTTCGGTATCGATTTGAATGCATCAGCAGTTCTCCTTTATAGGCCCAGCTTCTTTTCATGACGAAAAAGATTTTTTTTTTTTCGGAAAGAAGGTATTTGGCAAATATTCTCCGAGCGTGCATGAAAAATTTCTGGTTGAAAATGAACGAATCAGTAAGATTCCGATCACGTCAATCGGTCATCACAATTGGACACTTAATCTTAATTAAAATTATAATAGATTTAATCAGAAGATTCTGATTTGTTCATTTCAAATTAGTTTTTCTCGTTGTATAATATAATCTCACAATTGAATTGCGAGATTTTATTGCATTGTTCCACAACATGCGGTGTAAAACTCTTTTCACTAATTAACGTTCCTAACGACATAAATGCGGCCACTCGTGCCGTGCTCCTCGGGGAGTCGATACAGCTGGTTGATTCTACTTGTCACGTAATGCACTGGCATTTAATCGAGGCCGCCGTTACTCGCCGCTCGGGAAATCGACGCTTTCTGCACGACCATTTTTCTTCTGTCAGAAAAGGGTCCGATTCGAGGCGGAGGCAAAATCCCTTCCAATGATTTCTTTCTCTAATTGGAGAAGAGAACCATTTTCCAGTACGAAATGAGAATACATTTTTTCTTTAATATTTCGGACAGATTGTCTGTCTTTCATAAAATAATACGTATAGATTTCCTTCTTAATCTTTATGCACCGCAATAATGCAGCATTTTTATCGTATTTTAAACAGGAGAAATTTCATTTCACGCGGTTGGCTCCTCCTGCATAATTTCATTGAATCGACCTATTTAAAAATAGAGCCGTCGGCGCTTTCTCGCGCACGACGGGTTGGCCGTTACATAAAGGACCACAGCGAGACCATTTATTTGCTCTTCTCTCAACGCGGCGCATACAAATCGCAACCCTTCGCACCGACGTCGTTCGTTCTTTTTTTTTCCGCTTATTCCGGCGAATACGTATTCCATTCTATTCAGAGCGCCGAAACTCTCGCGCGTGGTCCAGAGAGGATCGCGAGGGTATTCGCGGTCGGCGCGGAGGATGTCGAGTATTGATTAAGGGGGTTTGCCGGGAGGAATCTCTCTCTCTTTCCTCACGGGTAGATCGTCTGGCGTCGTTCCTCGCCGTAAATGCACGGGGATGAATGGGGCACGGTGGGGAACGCACGCACCGGGGTGCGTCTGCGCTCTGTGCGTCACACGCAGTGCTCCGATGCGCTTCACCTGAATCAGGTATCCCACGGTCCGCGTTCGCCGTGTCGGTGGCGTGCACGTGGTCGTCTGTCGGCGAGATCAGACGGGAGGGAAGCGAGATCGAGAGGACGAGGGAGACTCGATAGCCCCGAAGGAATCGCGATGACGATTGACACGCTCGACGCGTCGTTATCCACAGGCCACGAGTGTTGAGAGAAATCCGCTGTAGCGTAAGTGATCGCACGTTTTACATTTTCCTCGCCGGGGCTCGATTTCGGGAAACGACTGCGACAGTTTGAAAATTGATTCTGCGTTATGTTAATTTTATCATTATGTTTAATTATCTTTAGTTTTTATTTTATAGCAAAGTGTGCTATGTGAGCATCATTATAAGTATTATATTATTGTTGGAAATTATTATTGGAAATTGGAAAAATTCACGTAAACATTATTAAGCACCAAAACCCGCTTTGACCGAATATGGCTTTCTTCACTTGTACAAAAAAAGAACGATTTTACTGAAATAATTAGTTAGATACAGATCTAAAAATAACTTTGTTGGATCATCAATTACGTAGATATTTCGAACAGTACTGCAAAAAGTTTTGACATTCTAGCAACTAATTTGAGCGTTTTATATAATAATAATTATTTTCATAGTCCGACAAAATTGTTTTCAGATCTATATCTATAAAACAGTCTTTTTTCCGTGTACTATTATTATTCTCGAAGAAGATATAAGACCATTGTGACATTTTGACTAATTGTAAGTCTTAACATAACAAAGCCTATTTATTCAGTTGGTTATGGCTCAACTATATTGTAAAATATTCTCCTCGTTTCATTCCTTCTGTAGATACAAATTTTCTTGAAATTATCACAATTTTTCAACAACATAAAGCAACACTGAAAGCTTATTGAATCTAATTTTTAAATGAAAAGATCCTTTGATCTGAAATTTCGCTTGACTTTTGTCTGTAAGATTTCCAACGACTATGAGTGAAATTATTAGGAAGTTTTTGCAATAACATGAATCCAGATACGGTGAACGTTAAAGTCACGTTATCCTTTTCTTAATTAATTGTTAAGAAGAAAATACTGATCTTAGCGTTTACCATATCTGGATAAACGGTATTGTAAAAACTCCCTATTAAAATATGAAAAATTTGTCGGTATTTAAATATTATGGTTAATACTAATATAGGTGCAGACTTAAGGAATCGATTTATGGGGTAGATTAGAGACTCTAACAGAGTTTGACCACGAGCGATTTTATCAAAATTCTACGAAAATGGAAGGTACAGGGTTGGCAAGTAACGCGTTACTTGTAACACGTCGTTACCGTTACAAATTATTTTTTTCGATAACGAATGGGTAACGACGTTACAATTTTTTCTGAGTAACGTTCATGGCCGTTACATTTTTGGGATAATGGTACCTATTTCATTAGTTACTTTTATCGTTACTTTATTTCTAGCCACGTAAAAGTTTTAGTCGTAACTAGAGCGTGTATATATACATATATATACACACATATATCAGTTTTTGAGCTTTATTCCTCTACTAAAAGATAAAATTCTGACATCTTTTTTATATTTACCGCAAAAATTTGCATTAATATTCTATTGGTGTCAAGAAAAAAAAGTAACGACTCGTTTGAGTGACGGTAACGGTCACGAGTACTGTTGTAAATCAATAACGAGTAATGATAACGAGATACTTTTTAGAAAAAAGAACGGTAACGGTAATGAATTATTTTTATGAGATAACGTTGTCAATCTTGAGAAGGTATATATAATTTCTTCCTGTATATATACTATCTCACTCTAACTTGTACTGTCTCATTCCATAATTTTAAAGTTATAGAGTGATACAGTATAAGTTAGAGTGAGTAGTGTATATACAGGAAGAAATTATATTATTAATTATTATTATTAATTATAGCTTGTTATCAAGCTTTCGCAAGACACGTTTTTTTACGAAATTTTCACAAATGTAAAAATGACATCGACCTTCCTCATCTGCGAACGCAAATCTGATTAAAAATCTCTAATTAATCACGAAGACGAAACTTTGAGAAACACGAATATTTATTTTGAAGTAGTTATCTTTGGCACATTCGAAAAATTTGGAGGTTTTTATTTTCAAAACTTTAGTCGAAAATCTCGTACGAAGCATGTCTCGACGAGCATGTCTCGATAAGCTATAATTAATGATACCTAGATAGAACACGGAGTCATAATTAAGTCATAATGGTATCACAGGACATCATCATGACGTCATTTGATACCTAAAAATTGACTTATAAGTGACGAATGAGGTCATGATGATGAGTCCTCATGACTTGTGTGTTCTACTTGGGTAATGGTAATTGTATGCCATAACTAAGTAAATGCATTTCAGTGAATGCAATGTACTTTTAAAATGTAACTTTTAATAAACTCGATTTCTTTCAGAGAACTGCTGACTACGTTCTTGTGCCACTGACTATACCTTTCTTTCTCGTAATAGATTTTGACAAAATTGCTCGTGACCAGACTCTAATATAGAATCTCTAAGTTAGACGTCGTAGACGACATCCTGAGGGCCTCTTTCACCAACTCCGATTAACGCTAATCGAAGGTTAACTCAATCACCACGATTGCCAACGTGAGAACTAAACACAGAAGAGGAAGAGAGAGGAGATGTTCTGATACGTTGCTGTTGGCACTTCTGCGAGTTGATCATCGATTAATTTAATCAGAGGTTGGTGAAAGAGGCCCTAAAGCCGTAATCACACTACAGGCTCCCTACTCTGACTCGACTGCCAACTCTGACTGCCGACCTATAATGGACCAATAATAATGAGACTGATTTATTATTATTGGTCCATTATAAGTCGGCAGTCAGAGTTGGCAGTCGAGTCAGAGTAGGGAGCCTGTAGTGTGATTACGGCTTTAGGGCCTCTTTCACCAACCTCTGATTAAATTAATCGATGATCAACTCGCAGAAGTGCCAACAGCAACGTATCAGAACATCTCCTCTCTCTTTCTCTTCTGTGTTTACAGGGAGCCTGTAGTGTGATTACAACTTAAGCCGCATCCTGGCGTTGTGCGTTTTCGTGCGAGCGCCGCGCGTACAATAGTGGCCTGTCAGAGTCGGTTCGCGAGCGCAACCGTGGTAGGGGCACAGATCTGCCGACATCTCCCTCTTTCCTTCGCGGGCTCGCTCTCGTGGAGCGCCGGCATCGAAGGGCTGCAGTCGTGATCGGATGATCAGCGTGTACGGGTCGTCGCTGGTCGAAACACAAAGTGCTCGATTATTAATTTGATCAGAGGGAAAAAGAGAGAAAGAAAGAGAGAGAATCTCGGAGCGGTGAATTTGGCAAAGAGCTGAGAAAAAAATTTTGCATAAACAAGCGATCACGATGAGCCTCAATCTTCGGGAGCATTCCTCAGGTAAGCGCCCGGCTAATCTTACGATCGCGCGAAAGCTTGATAGCGTTATTTGTGCCGCTTAAGAAGAATTTATTTATTGACATTTGACAAATGCGTCCGGAATTTGCGTCACGATAAGCGTGTCGTCAGGACAACAGTAACGTTTTAGAAATAATCAATTGAATTGTTTGTCGTGCAAAGAATCGACATGCAGGAACGTGGGCTTTTTATAATTTTCGGTGATATTTTACAATTATTTTTAGAATATAGGTTTGATTTATGGAACTGCGAGATTTAAGTTTGGAAAATGTTCGATGATTTAATCGAATATGTTTCGTTATCTAATATAAATTATTGGAGGAACATATATCAGTAAATATATCAGAAAAGATAATTTATGTGTCATTAATATTAGAATATTTCTTATATATTTTGTGTATCACCACGCATAAACTTCTATGTATTACTTTGTATTATTGAGAAATATGTTAAGGTTAATTCTGACATGATTACTAACGACATTCTGTTGTATGTCAACATAATACTTAATTAATTTGATAGGAGAATTAATATAAATTAATATTAATATTAATATCAATAAAATATTTAATTAATCTAATATGTAGATTAATATAAATTTGTATTAATATTATAATTTATAAATTCATATTAATATTATAATTAATATAAATTTGTCACACTTGCAGGTTCTATTTATAGAACATGCAGATTGGTTTCGAATCTATCCTATTATTGCTTCTGCAATACCGCGAGAAAATTGAATTTCCCAAGCGAGAATAAATGGCGGAAATTGATTCTATTAGTAATGTATATTTCAATTAAATTGTCTGCAAGCATGGAAAAATGAGATTGGAACATGATTTGTGTCAAGAAATGTATTTCTCATATAGACTTTGATGTACAGATAGAATGGGTGTGACGTATATTTTTTAAATAATAACTTTCGTCATATGTTTCTTATTTTGAAAACGAGAGCTGTAAACTATTCGCTCACGACCTTATCAACTGTTTGAGAAAGTGAGGGTCGATATGCTTCATTAACTTTTAACGAGTGTGTGTATTGTTACACGCTTATATATCCTCCTGTACAGAGCTAATTACATCGAATATGACGTTCATTATTCACTGCAGTCAGTTTATTACTTCAAGAATAGAAGTGGAAATAATGTTCTGTGACATGTGTATTAAGACGCTATTCGAAACACGTAGCTGAAAAAACACTCGGGTTCTATTTAGACATCATAGACACTTTCTCTCGATTTTTTATGGAATACAAGATTATTCTTTCAATCAAAATTAAAAGGATTGTGATCATTGCTCCCAATTTCTTAATTTTTAACAGCAAATATCTTGACAATTAAATTTAAATTAAATTCCTATTAAAAGTAATTTAAAATTAATAGAAGGATAAACCTTTTTATTTTTTTCCAATTTTTAGGCTTGATTTGTTAAATCTTTGCCGATTATAATAAATAATTATTCGTTAATGCATTAATATTAAAACTTCCATTTTCTCATTTATTATCAAAAATTATTATCAGAATTTGGAAAAAAGTTGCTATTTTGGATATTTCATATTTCTAAAATCTTCGTTAATTAATCGTCGCGATTGCGCGATGGAAGTTTTAGTCTTCTTCTACCGATCGTCTTCTATACCGTTCTCTTTCTTTCTCACGACACTTTGACGAATGAGTGGCAGGCTCTCTCGCAGAACGAAGCTTAAATGACATATCTCGGTGTGTGCGCACCGCGACATGAAGTCATTAAAGAATTTCTAAGGCGTCGGGCAACGG